TTTTTCAGATTTCATTTCCACTATCTGAATCATTTACTTTTTAAAAAATATCAAGTAGAACATACTTGTAAAAATTTAACTTAATCGGACATTGATATTCCTTTCATTAAGACATATTTATATCTAAAAAATTGAGTGGTAAATTTAATTTTAAGTATAAATCTGAATACAAACATGACTTGATGAAAAAGATATTGATGTCTGATTAACTTGAATTTTTACAAATATATTCTACTCAATATTTTTAAAATGTGAACGGTTCGAATTATTAGAATGAGACCCAAAAAAAGCCTTATTAGCCACGCAACGGTCACTGTTGCCCGTATTGCGCAACAGCCTCCAAGCTCCATAACAAAGCATCAAATAAAACACTTGATATATATATCATTACCCAATTTTTTTTTGGGTGAACGATTGAACATTTTCAATTTTATTGAGATTATCCACAATGTAGAACTCCTATGTCACAATTTCTCTCAGATATTTGCTGAACTTCTCTTCTAAATTTTGATTGGTTTAGATTTTAGATGGAGAATGAAAAGTTCTTGATAAGACTTCTCTGGACGATGTTGGCCCTGTTTGGTAGAGTTGTGAGAAAGTGCTTATAGCTTATACCTTAACAGCTTATACCTTATAACTATGAACATAAGCTGATTTCTGACTTATAAATTAAGCTTCTCCTGCCCCACTCAAAGAATAAGTTGATTTCTGACTTACAAAAAGCTATAAGCTGTATTGTTAAGCTAAACCAAACACATTAAAATAGCTTAAATTAAGTTGAGAGCTGAAATAAGTTGAAATTAAGCTGTACCAAACAGGGCCGCTGTTGGGCTGGTATAGTTCATCATAGGTTTAATTTCGATAATCTGAACTATTCAATATATAAATATTGTTCAACATTTTATTTCCTATAAAAAACTAAATTGATCGAATATTGATAATCCCTTAATCAAATTATATATTTTTTTAATAATAAATATAATTTTAAAAATAAATTATTCACGTGCAAAAAATAAAAAATAAAAAATTAACCCCTAAAATCTTATATGCTGTAGAGTTATGCACGATAAACATGTGGCGCAATGTGTCCCAGTTTGGTTTTTGTATAAAGTAAAATGTGGGTTTCTTTCCTGCATGGTATTGATTTTGATTTGTCCCCATTCCTAATTTCAATACTAATGATTTCTTTAATTACTTTTTTGCAATTAATCACTATTTTTGTTGAGATTACCATCTAAAAAAATATATTTTTTTTTTGTTGTGATTAATTTTCTTTTTCTTTTTTGGTTGAGATTGATTTTTTTGTTTTTGTTTTTGTTGAAGGTCTTAATTTATTGATCGATTTTAGTTTGTGATTTTTTATTACTTCGTGATTTACAATTCTATCTTTATCTACAAACAAAATGGGTGAATGTTGCATGTGTGACAACACTATTATTTTGAGTTTTTTAAAAAAAAAAAATTTGAATTTTCAATTCATATTTTCATATTTTTAATGATTTTTTTAAAATATTGTAATTAATTTTTTTAATTTTTAAATCTACTTAATCTTAATATATTTAAAAAGTAAAAAATTTTGTACAAAATCTTTTAAAAATTTATTGGATACAACAAAATATAGAAATGTATTAAATTTTCTTCTTTTTTTTTGTATATTTTATATTTGGTGAATTTTTTTACAAATATTATACTTTTAAGTGCATTTAGATTAGGTGTATTTAAAAAATAAAAAATGGTGTAAATATAAAAAAAAATTACTGAAAATAAAAAATACGAAAAATAAAAAATTATTTTTTTGAAAAGAAGACTCAATTTTTTAGAACGAAACATGGGATTTTTTTTTTTTTTATTTTATAGTAAGGCCTTGTTTGGGAAGTTGACTATTTTAGTAGTTTTTGGCTATTTTTTTTTTATAGGCTAAAATATTTATGTTTGGGAAGAGGGTTGTATTTTTTTGTAGTTAAATGTGATGTTTGTGAGGAAAAAATAAAATGATTATAAATTTAATGTGACATTTTATCTTATTAACTATTTTAATTTATTTTATCTTTTTATGAATTTTAACCTCAAAAACATCAAACCTTAACTTCCCAAACACCCCTAAGTGTGACTTTACTTATAGTGGTGAAAGTCGAGAGTTGGGACTTTCATTTATTTATTTATTTTTATTTTTTTTTTATATGTTGGTTGTTCAATTGTGAATATCCACTTAGTTTTAAGATGATACTCATATTTGGTTAATAATTTGTAGGACTCTTGGGAGCACTTGGTTATATAAAAAATTTAAAGTTTATGTTGTGCTGACTTTTTAAGGTTGGATTTCTCTCGTGCTAGGATCTCAATATGAAAAAATTTGAGGGATTTATGGAATTCATCATAGATCCCATTTTGATAATTTAAATCGTTCTTTACCTAGGACTCGTTAAGTAGAATATTTATATAAAAAATTAAGATAATCGGATATTAATAACTATATATTTGAATTAAATTTATATTACAAAAATATATAATTATTTTTGAAATTATATTTGTCGTTTATTTTTTTTAAATAAATATAATTCAAATATATAATTACCGATATCCAATCATCTTATTTTTTGAATACATATTTTACTCAATGATTCCAAAAAAGTGAACAACATATGTCTATCAAATTCAAATACTCTTTCAAACTAAAATCCAATTTAATAGAAATCAAACTCATTTTTATATTTTGTTTTCTATCCAGTGTTTTGTTATTATGTAGATAGTTCTTAATTTACAAACAACTCCTGTGGAGATATATGCCAAATTTGGTTGTATAGATATTGCAACGGTTTTTTTTTAGGCATTTTCGTTGGACCTAGACTATCTCAAGTCCAAGATAGATTGGACAGTCCAATCTAACCTATTAGACTTACTTTTAAATCTTATTTTGATAATTTAAACTGTTCACATTTTAAGATTTATTAGATACATTATTCTTGTAAAAAATCATATCATCCGATCACTTTAATTTTTTTAGGGATGATATACATATGAATCATAAAATATGAACAATTCGGATTATTGAAACGAAACCCATAAATGGATCCAATGGGCCAGGGATTTAGGAGTAATTTTTTGTATGTGGATAAGGTACATATCATGTGGTACCTCTACTATTGTGATTAATTTTGACAGTAGGATTTACTACATTTATGTTCAATGTTTAGGAAACAATAGGGATAGGGGTAGACATTTGTTAGACCACGCTAACACTACATAATAAGAGATTTTGTATTTGTCCAAGCCTGGTCCTAATATCGGGCCTCTATGTTTATGCAAGCCTAGCTCAAAAAATAATTATAAATCTCAAGTCCATCTATCAGACAATATATTAAAAAATAAAAATAAAAAATTCCATAATCACACGTTATATTCCTTAAATAAATATACTGACATCATTATAAATTGAATAATTTTATATATAAATTAAAATTTTTCAAAATAAATTCATTCACACATTACCTCAAATATGAGTGTCAATAAAATCAATAAAGTTAAAGTATAGATCCAACAAAAATACAGTATATTTTAAAAATATTATAATTAATTAAGTAATTAGTTTAATAGCAGGATGGGCTCGGCTTGGTCGGGCTGGGTTGGAAATATAAATCTCAAGTCTAATCCATGAATATATCAAGGTAAAAATGTTAACCCAACTTGACCCTATTAGTTAAAACATTCCTAAACCCTAAAAAAATAGGACAAGGTTGGGTCGGGTGGACTGAGCGGGTCAACGGACTGATGTTCACTCCTAAATAAGGGTCATATACATTTGTGATTGATGAAAGATAATGTCACATGATACCCTTTTGGCATACAAAAATTTCTCTAGATCTGAGACTAGACAGAAGCCAACCATTTTCTTAGAGAATTCTATTATACGCACTTTATACCATATGCATCTATAGTTACGCTATTTTCTTCTTTAATTATAACATTATTTTGAGATATTTAGTTATAAATTTTCTATGTTTGATTATGAATTCTTTTTTTTTTTTCCTTTAAAGTTATAACTCATAAAGTGTAGAATTTTATCATTTTCTTCGGTAGTTATAAGAGGCATATGATAGGCATTTTTTTTTCTTTTTTTTTTTTGCCTCTATGTTTATGCAAGCCTAGCTCCAAAAATAATTATAAATCTCAAGTCCACCTATCAGACAATATATTAAAAATAAAAATAAAAAATTCCATAATCACACGTTATATTCCTTAAATAAATATACTGACATCATTATAAATTGAATAATTTTATATATAAATTAAAATTTTTCTTAAATAAATTCATTGACACATTACCTCAAATATGAGTGTCAATAAAATCAATAAAGTTAAAGTATAGATCCAACAAAAATACAGTATATTTTTAAAATATTATAATTAATTAAGTAATTAGTTTAATAGCAGGACGAGCTGGGTTGGAAATATAAATCTCAAGTCTAATCCATGAATATATCAGGGTAAAAATGTTAACCCAACTTGACCCTATTAGTTAAAACATTCATAAACCCTAAAAAAATAGGACAAGGTTGGGTCGGGTGGACTGAGCGGGTCAACGGGATGATGTTCACTCCTAAATAAGGGTTATATACATTTGTGATTGATGAAAGATAATGTCACGTGATACCCTTTTGGCATACAAAAATTTCTCTAGATCTGAGACTAGACAGAAGCCAACCATTTTCTTAGAGAATTCTATTATACGCACTTTATACCATATGCATCTATAGTTACGCTATTTTCTTCTTTAGTTATAACATTATTTTGAGATATTTAGTTATAAATTTTCTATGTTTGATTATGACTTCTTTTTTTTTTCTCCTTTAAAATTATAACTCATAAAATGTAGAATTTTATCATTTTCTTCTGTAGTTACAAGAGGCATATGATAGGCATTTTTTTTTCTTTTCATTTTCTTTCAATTTAATGAATGGAAATAGTAAACGACGTCGTGGACAAGTAATTCAATCAAGTCGCTGAGACATTGGCAGATGTACAAAAGCTTTCTTCGGAGAGCATACTGCCCACACACAACATCAATGGCGTCGTCTCTCTCATCAATCCACAGCGCAGGAAACTCCATTCTTTCTCCTCCTAATCTCAAGCCTCGAATCTCCACCCACCACCATCACCACCACTCTCTCTCCGTCTGCACCTCCGCCCTCCCCAATCACACCAACCCAAGTCTCGGAAGATCTCTCCGCCGCAACCCACAACCGAAACCACCCTTTCCCCACGAAAACAATCAAATTTCAGAGAGAAAGAACCTCAACCCAGTTCACCCCAGTGCACAAAATGTTGATTTGATGAGTTTGTGCCGAGAAGGTAACATCAATGAAGCGCTTGAATTCATGTCTCGGGGTGTTCCCGCCGATTACACTATTTTCGAAGCATTAATGAATTCCTGTGCTAGTCCCAAGTCGATTGAAGTTGTGAAAAGAGTTCATGAGCTCTTGATTCGATCCCCTTATGTTGGAAATGTTGAACTGAATAACAAATTGATTGAAATCTATGTGAAATGCGGGAGTATGAGAGATGCTCGCCGGGTGTTCGACAAAATGCGCGAGAGGAACTTGGACTCTTGGCATTTGATGATTAATGGGTATGCAAATAATGGGGAGGGGGATGATGGGTTGGTTTTGTTTGGGCAAATGAGGAAATCAGGTTTGCGGCCCAGTGCAGACACTTTTCTTGCGGTTTTGTCAGCTTGCGCTACTGCAGAGGTGGTGGAAGAAGGTTTTACACACTTTGAATTGATGAAGAACGAGTACGGTATTGATCCAAGGATTGAACATTACTTGGGGGTTATCGATGTTTTAGGTAAAGCCGGACATGTAAATGAAGCAATGGAGTTCATTGAGAAAATGCCAATTGAGCCCACGGCTGAAATTTGGGAGGCTGCTATAAAATTTGCTCGGATACATGGAGACATTGAAATTGAAGACCATGCTTTGGAGATGTTGGTTGATCTTGACCCGTCTATGGCCATGGCTAACACGCTCACTACGCCACCGCCAAAGAAGCAATCTGCAACCAATATGCTTGAGGGGAAAGATAGGGTTGGTCAATTTCGGAGTACAAATCCATACAAAGGAGATGCACATGAGAAATTGAAGGGTTTGAATGGACAGATGAGGGAGGCTGGATATGTGCCTGACACAAGATATGTGCTTCATGACATTGATCAAGAGGCCAAAGAACAGGCTTTAATGTATCATAGCGAGCGTTTGGCAATTGCCTATGGTCTGATCAGTACTCCAGCAAGAACGCCCCTTAGGATCATCAAGAACCTCCGCATATGTGGTGATTGTCACAATGCAATAAAGATCATGTCGAAGATCGTTGGGAGAGAGCTGATTGTTCGGGACAACAAGAGGTTTCATCATTTCAAGGATGGAAAATGCTCGTGTCGGGATTACTGGTAAAGGTGTGGTTCGATTCCTTTGTCTGCTGCTAGATTCTTTTTCTTGTATGCAGCTGGGGTAAATGAATATAGTGTCTATCAAATGGAGATGACATTTTATAGTCTGTAATATCATCAGAATGTACATTATGCTTGTTGAGAAATTCTAACAACCCATTCAATGGAAATCAGAGTACATTAACATTGTCAGAATTTCACATTATTGCAGAATTTCACATAAGTTGAATCCACAAAATTTACATATTGAGGACAAATTGAATAGAAAAATGTTTGAGATCCTCATAAATCTTCTACAATTCAACCCATAATGATGTAATTTGACGAATGTCAATTTTTGATTGATCAAACACTCAATGATATGGGACCCCACCACCCTTGTCTTATCATTCTAGATGCATTTAATGATATAATTGGACAAATATCAGTTTTTGATTGATCAAACACTCAATGACATGGGACTCACCAACCTTGCCTTATCATTTTAGATGCATTTGTGGGTGCAAAATGAGGGTCTCTAGCTTGTTGAATTGAATATATCAAGTTTACTCATAAAAGCAATAATGGGAAACCTGAACAAATCTCAGACATTCCTAACCCCAAATTGTGTTTCATCAATGAGGTTCTCTATATATGTTATTTCACATCTAAATAGAGCTTTAAGAACATCACACTTGTAATGTTTAATGTTAATTCCATCAAAATGACGTTATAGAAGCACTGCTAACTCCATCATTGTTCAAACTACTTATCAAACCTGGATTTCAGGCAGTACAAGATGTTTGGAAAATACCTGGAAAAGCTTGTTTTATTTATTTATTTATTTTTTTGACGACTACCAGGAAAAGCATGTTGAAAACAACATAGGGCATCCCACTGTAACTGAGTTCATGAAAACAGAGTAAATTTCTCATTTTTTGTTTACTGTGTCAATCATCCTACAAGAGGTACACAAGACAAATACATGCCACAAAAGCTGTTACATTAAGGTTTGGAGAAGGTAGTGGGTATATGGAGAGACTGATTCCTGTGACTCAACCCTGCACCACACTGCTGAGAGTGATAACACTTGCATCGCTCCATATCACGACCTCTAACAACTGGTTCATTGATGGGGATCAAAATGTCCTAAAATGCAATTGAATGAGTTTGACTGACTCTAGTCTTACGGAGTTTTACAGTTGCTTTCAGTGGAGTTTGCTTCGATAAGCTGAATTAGGATCCTCTCAAGCTCCTCTCCATTGCTCCATTCGTGGACCTCTGCCTTGATAAGCGTACGGTTATCGCAAATCGTCTTCCATAAAGGAAAATCCTTTCTTGGCATCACATGGTCTCGCTCTCCAAGCTTCAGACTTGGGCAGTAATCACCTCTCCCATCTCCAAGGTAGATCATTTTTTTCTTCCCTTTTTCAGAAATCGAAGCTTGAATCTGCTCAATCACTAGACCCTGTTGTGGAAAGCACAAAAAATTCCAAAATAATTTATAAATAAATAAATAGAACTACCAGGGGACGAAGAAAATGAGCCTCTAAACCATAGAAATGTTACAGTGCCTCCGTGTCTCTTAACCGTGAAAGTTACTGATGCTTAACACTCTCTCTCTCTCTCTCTCTCTCTCTCTCTCTCTCTATATATATATATATATATACATATATGTAAACTACAGAGATCAGGAAAAAAAATATAATCATTATATAGGAAGTAAAATCAAGGTCCCTCACATTACTATCAAGCACAAGCTTCAAAACAAAAATCTAGGAGCCTTAATTGACAAACTGAATCCTGATTACCGAAAACCTATCCATTAATTAAGGAATTGGGATAAAAACTAAAACAACCATACCTTTTATCACTAAAATAAACATAAGCTTCTCATAACCTTAGATTATTATTTTTAATTAATCAACAAATAAAGATATGTGTGACATATAAGAAAATAATTATGTGTAACTTGAAAGCATATATAGCTGAATGGAACTAAACAGAATACCTTGCACAAATTGGGAGGGCATAAATGGCAACCGTGAGGGGATGAGACCGAATCATGGTAAGGGCAGATCCTCAGCCTGCCTTCTTCTTCCTCAATGATGCTAGGGTTTGTGATGATCTCCGAGAAACAATCAAATAAACCATAATGCTTCAAGATTGTCTCAATAAAAAACTGGTTCGCATCACTGATTATTCTCAATTCACACCTGGAATAACCACATTCCATCCAATCATAACCAATTTTTTTTTGTAATTGGCAATAACAAGCTTGTTTCTAAATCCAAAGGGGTTAGCTGAGTGGCATGTTGAGCCATGATAAGCACCTCAGCAAGCATTGGTCACGAGTTCGAAAATCATTAAAAAATGACCCCTTGAGGCCAAGGATTGTGTCCTGTAATTACCGGATATATGTCTAAATGTGCAAAACAAGTCAGAGCGAAGGCATGGATACCCTATTTACCTGAAAACAAAAAACGTGTTTCTAACACTAATTTGCTTTGGCAGAGAAACTATTCTTACAAAAGAAAGATTTTCCTATGTTTGATTACAACTTGAAACTAAAGTTGTAGTGTTGAAAGCGGTGGTGGTAATATTTTAAGCCCGTTTTGGTTTTAAAGGTAGAATTGAGAGATTAATAGTAAGGGAATTGATAGTGAGGGGATTAAATAAATTGTATTTATTTTGATGATAGTTGTTAGTGTAAGGATTGTTAAATTATTTTTATGTAAAATAATAAAGCGAATAAAAAAATACAAAAATATTAAACATTAATGTTCAAAAAAAATATACCCAACATGTAAAAAATTAAAAAAAAATACAAAAATTCAGAAAAACATAAAACAAAAATTTTTACTTAACAAAAAATATAAAAAATTAAACATTAATGTTAAAAAAAATGCCCAACATGTTAAAAAAAAAAAAAAACCTAATCCCATGGGACTAATTTCTTAATGAGTTCGGATCTTCAGCAGCTCTTTCTTGCAGCACTTTTATGTAAAATAATAAAGTGAATAAAAAAATACAAAAACATTAAACATTAATGTTCAAAAAAAAAATACCCAACATGTAAAAAATTAAAAAAAATACAAAAATTCAGAAAAACATAAAACAAAAATTTTTACTTAACAAAAAATATAAAAAATTAAACATTAATGTTAAAAAAAATGCCCAACATGTTAAAAAAAAAAAAAAAGTCCAACGGACTAATTTCTAATACCAAGTCCCGGAAGCCTATTCGTAATCCCCTCGGAAAATATTTTACGCTCAAATAAACCTGTCCTGTTTTCCATTGACAACGAAAACATTTTCTCTTTTACTTGTCATATTAATGTTGTGTTTGGTTAGGTAATTTGAAAAGGAAAATATAAGTAAAAGAAATAGGTGAAATATGCCTAAATTCGGTCTAGTTTCACACTTTTTTTTTTTTTCTTTTTTTTTTTTCAAATCCCTTCTCAAAGCCCCACTAAATACGGCGTAAATGGCAGAAAACGATTTCCAAAAAACAGTGATTTTTCTGTGGAAACAAAAAGAGCATAAGAAATAATGAAGAACTTGACAAGTATGAAAACATCATGAAGAACACAAATTAGGGTAAATACCCAAGAAGAGCATGGGCTTTAGTGATGGCTGCAACAATTCTGGGATTCATAGGAACCCTTCTCAAACACTCTGCAATCTCCTCAATTGTTTTCCCCTTTGAGTGGACCTCCTCCATCATCCTATCCTATTAATTGATCATGATGATGACACAACATAGTAATTATAATAAAACTAATAATCGATTAAAACTCAAATTTACAACTAGTGTCGGTAGAAGAAGTAAATAAATAAAAAATGTAAAATTATGCAGTTTCTCTCATGGAAAATACTAACCATGAGAGAGTTCCAAGGGAGAGTACGTAGGAGTTGATTGAAGGAATCGGTGAGACCCATTTGCTCCACCACCCATGTGTCGCTGTTGTCTTCTATCATCGTGTGGTCGAAATCGAACACCACTACGGTGCTGCTTCCCGCCATTTCTCACCTACTCAGTCCACGGTGAGCTGTTTCAGATCGGAATGCGCTCCGAAAATCAGAATACTAGTGCTTGTCTTTTGTTGACTTGTCTATTTCTCACTACGCAATGCACAATCAGTAGCCGTAGATTTTTCATCAAAGACACGTGGAGGGTTGTGAGTAGTTAAGAAACAATAGCCGCTGGTTCATCAATTTAAGGAGAAATTGTAAAAAATAATAAAAATATATATATATATATATATATTTTTGTGAGTAGTTAAGAAACAATAGCCGCTGGTTCATCAATTTAAGGAGAAATTTTAAAAAATAAAAAATATATATATATATATAGATATTTTACAGTTATACAGTAAAAAATTATTTTCCAGCTTATTAATTAAATACTACTCTGCTGTTTAAATTCATATCCTCACAACTGTACCAAACAGATTAACAGCTTATATTCATTGCTATAAGTCATAATCTGTTAACCTATAATCTATAATTACTATTTTACAGCTCTACCAAATGAACATATTTATTTAAGCGGTCGTCATTGGGTCTGAAATGATCTCTTATCGAGCATCTTATGATGCGAAAATATATATTTATCCTATTCTCCAATAGTTAAAGGTGCAACGCACATGTTACAAGATTAGAAGGTATCAATAAAAGTATCCACTTTGAGAGGGAAAAATCCATTCAACAATAATATTCTGTTATCATTTATATGTAATATTATCATTCAGTAACATATTATCATTTAAAATCTTACGTATATATAAATATTATTAAATTATTATAAAAGAGATAATCATACCTTAAAATTAAAGTTCATATTATATTATTAATCGATAACATGACATATAACGTATCTATAATAACAAATTATAGCTATTGCATTGAATTATTATGTGTATAACTTTTAAAGTTAAATTAATAGTCATAATTCATATATCTCACTAGAATATTTCAATTTCTTCTCCTGACATGTAATATAATAAAATCCCCTCTTTGATGTACTAAAAAAAATATATATATGACCAGGCATGGGATTGCTATTTCAAAATTTTCGTTCCATATTTCTTTTTAGTTAACGAGTAAACTTCTTAAGTTTGTCTTTCACCGACTTCAGAATCAACTACTTAATGTCAGTTAACTAGAGTGGGACGAAGGAAAAACCTAGGTGTGTACCATTTCAATCAGAGAATCCAGTTATCAAGATTCGACCTCACACCCAAACCCTGGATACGGATCGTCCTGCACTTAGAGAGTCGTCCTAGAATTACTGTACCAAACTCTTAAGGCCCCGTCTGTTTTCAGAGGTAGGATGGAGGGGATTATTAGTGAGGGGATTATTAGTGAAGAGACTGTTAGTGAGAGGACTGTTAGTGAGGAGATTAAGAAAAATTGTGTTTGTTTGATAACCAATGGACTAATAATAGTTCATGTTTGTTTTGAGAGATAAGAATGAGATTAACCATGTGAAATTTCACAAATACCCTTTGTATTATTATCAAATTTGGACTTACACTAACTAAAGAATAAATAAATTTTTACTCATCAATGTTATTCTTCTACTTTTTTTTTAAATATTAAAGAATCTAACTATCAAAAAAAAATTTGTCAATGTTATTCTTTTTTTTTTTTAATATTATTGAATCCAACTACCAATAAATTTTTATTCAATGTTATTCTCTCTTATTTTTTTTCTTTTTTTTTAAATATTAAATAATCAAAGCAACTGCAATACCTTTGTCACGTTAGCAGTATGTAATGATTTGATTATATGATAATCATTAAATGATAATTACACATTTGACTATCTTATTTTTTTTCTTTGCCTTTGTCACGTTAGCAGTATTCCAAGCAGCTCCAATACCTCCTTGACAAGGTTATTGGTTTAATTAGTTCACACACAGACAGAGACACAGATGAAGAATTAATCCAAGGCCAAAGATATGATGTGTATCTAGGAAGGAGGAGGAAAAACGCCACGCAATTACAAACAATTTTCTTTTATTTTGAAATAGGATCAGTTGAAAAGAAATGATTAAAAAAAAAAATTTGCAAAATTAAAATGTTAAAAAACAACTTAAAATTAATAAATTAATAAATATAGGGAAAAAGAAGAGAGGGTACCAGTAGAAACACCACAACTGAGCAAGGTCATGTTCTTGAGGGGAGCATTGGAGTCAATCTTGACAACACAAGCAGAGTCAAGGACAGTGTATAGTGTTGAGGAAATGGAAGATTGGTTTCTTCTTCCCGTCCTTGATGGTTGAGAACCTAGTCCTTCCTTCATTAACCATCACGCTCTTGAATGGGTTTACGCGATACTTCTCACACAGATTGGTTTTCTCGCACTTGCAGTAGACACATTCCCCACACTCTCCGTTGAATATTGGAACTACATGGTCTCCCTCTTTCATGTCCATTACTCCCTCTCCTACACACTCAACAATTCTACAAACCAAAACCAACCCATTTCACTTTTTTCTTTTAATTATGTATGATGACTAATTAATCAACACTCAATTAATTATTAGCACTATTCTATTTGGATTGAATGAATTTACTTTTAACTAATAAGCGAGTGTTTATTGGAACACAAAATAATAGATCAAGGAAAAAAAGCATGGCCAACAAAATTACCCAGCAGCTTCGTGGCCCAGAATTCGAGGATATACTCGCTGAGTTTCGTTTTGCAAGCGCGACAAAACTTGATGAATAATACCAAAGGCAAAGTAGGCGAAGTAGGCAATCTGTGAGTGACAATGAGCCAAACAAGACCATACCCAACAAAATCCTGAACGACACCAATGGAAAAAACGGCCCAAATGGTTTAACCATATATTCATACATGAAAAAAAAGTTCAACCATGAAAGCATACTATGGAAATCCACCATGAAAGGGAAAGTCTACATATCCATGATTTTCATGCAAAATTATGCATCATGTGCATCCACGATAATACCTAAGCTATAATATTTATGTATCACATAATATATTACCGAAGTCATGTGGCAAACAAAAAGACCATCACAAAATAGATACCATATTCAAATATGACCTTCCAATAACAAAGAAATCCACTTCATCTTGTCATTCTCATCTAAACTGAAGAACAAGTCAACTTTGTCTTCATCTTTCACTATCATAGATGCTGCCATCAACCTTTGGGTAGTACTCATTGGCAACTTCAGAAGTTCTTCATTAACCAACCTCCTTTGTTGAGATAGGTCATGTGAATATCCTATCCTATGAGTAATCTCCACCATCGTAGTATTAGTATTCTCAATGAATGATCCAAGATTTTTTGCCATCTCAGATAGTTCAGTGGGAATCCCCTAAGCAGGTCGAGCCCCTTTTTTTTCCAGTTTTAGTAGAGTCAGCACGGTTGGAAATATTACCTGAAGTAGACATTGAGTAGTCCATATCACCCATGTTCATACTAAACTGTTCAACAGGAGACTGTTCTCCTTCTTCTGGAGTTGCATTCGCATCTTCCTTTTCCATGGCTGCAACTGCATCAGCAGGATCCTCAGCTAGTTCACTAGTCGCCCTATCCTTCCCAAATAGAATAAGCCAATCTTCATAGAATGGGAATGGCCTATTTCGCATCCCTTTTGCATCTGGCACCCTCTACACAAGTGATTATCCAATTACTAAAAATAACAGATTGATTTATAAGTAAAGAATAATGCAAACAACAATAAAAAAAAAAATGAAATATACCCTGACATAGTTCAGCCATACGTCGTCACTATCAACTAGCACCATCTTCTGTTCATCATCCCAACCAAAACCACTTATCTTTAACATATCTTGAAGAGTGTTATATTGTTTCCTCCACAACTTAATCTTTGAGTCGATGTGAGGAGTGGCTCGAAGATCAGTTCCAGGAAATGCACTTAAGATCTTCTTTTCACATTCATTGTGGAAGCCTGTCCTAAACTGATTATTATCAAGCTTTCACCTCGGATTACTTGCGGTTACATCCTTCATGGTTGTAATCAGGAAGACTTCCTCACGGTTATTCCAAAACCTTCGAGGTTTCTGTCACAACCCAAACCTGCCCCTAAGGGTTTAATATCATAACCGGCCAGTAATCCGTGATTACCAAAGGCCTGCTTAACAGTAATGACAATAATACAGAGTAAGGGGTTGGCGGAAGCCAAACAGTAAATGAAAGATATCCAATGAGCTGTAAAAATCTGAATGGAAAAGGACTTTTATGGACTAGGCCACATCATAACCATAAACATATATACATGTCAGATGCACATAACATACAGGTTAGGGATCCAATCCTTTCACCACAACTATACAGTCAAGAGTCTTAAGCATTCATTACAAAATAGGGACAAAATGGTGAATCTAAAACACCCCAAAAACAACCTTGGCTTGAACAGACTAGGGACCTCGAAGTGAGACACAACGGTTGGCTTGACAAAACGTAAGCTTAACTTGACGCTTCTAGCTTCGGTCCGGTGCCTGGCCACCTACATATATATGTATATATATATATAAACAGTAAACTAAAACCCAGTGAGTAATAACTGTGTAAAGGAGTTAAGAATGAATGTCCTTTTTAGTAATTAAAACAGTCATTTGCATCAGTAGATCAGTTATTCAATCAGTGGCTCATATTTCATGCCATATCAATCAATTAGAAATCTTAACAGTCATATGTGGTACATCTAATAGCAGAACAGTACAATAGGTCTTAATAAACCAAACAGTCAATTGATGGCCATCAAAACAGTAAGCAGTAGTAGTTCTAAACATTAGAACTAACAGAGATCTCTGTAACAGTAATAGTAACAGTAACAGTAGCAGTCAGTTGCTATGGATGTCACAAGTGCAGTTCATAAAATAGGACAAACATTCATTCAGTAAACAATATCATTTCAGAAAACAGTACAATTAATCGTTCAGAAAATATCATAATTGAACGTAGCTTTACAGCATTGTTACTCACAGATTACTGGGCTATAGACAGGCTAGTCAGCGTCCTCGGGTGCCAACCTTACACAGTTGCAGAATGAACACACACTAAGTTACACACTTGGGATTAATAACTTAGCCCCTATATGGCTTGGTGTGGTTCTATAACACTATCCTCATTAAGATGCCTTAAACATGGCCTAGGAATGCCTAGGATGGGATGAGGATGCAAAAATGTACTTTAAAATATTTTTCAAAATTTGCTGAAAATAGGAGTCTCGCTCGAGCGTGGCTTTCTCCGCTCGAGTGATCTTACCAAAACAGAGGGGTCGCTCGAGCGTAGACTCCCTCGCTTGAGCGGTCTGTAAAAATGCAAAAAGTACTGGATTCTGAAAATCTCAGCTCGATGCTCACTCGAGCGTGAGACACAGTTCCTCACTTGAGCGTGGATCTCGTCGCTCAAGCGTGCGTCTGCACACGCAAAAACTTGAGAGCTTGCAATCTACGCTCGCGCCAGCATTCCGTCGCTCGAGCGGAGCTCTGAACACAAAGGTGGTCGCTCGAGCGTGGAAGCTAAAATCTAGGTTTTTCATATTTGCTTCCAAAGCTCAAACCAAGAATCAAACATATCAAAACTCGACTTTTTGGGCCAATTTTCTGGAAAACACTTAGAAACCCATAGTACAACATGTTTCAAAGATCATTTTATAAAATCAAGCCCAAAGGTGTGACAATTGAACACAATTTTGAATGAAACTTGAAGAACAATGCAAGAACATAACATGCATGAGTTCTCATGAACTCTAATGTTCCAAAACATGATCAAATGCAAGATTGAACTCTAAAACATGGTGAATTCTTGAACCACAACTAAAATATGAACATGCATGTTGGATTTTCATGAAAACAACCTCAAAATGGACATGCATGTATGAATTCACTCTCAAATCAACACTTTAAGCAAATTCTTGACTCTATTCACCAATTGAACATAATTTCAATGAAACCTTCATGAACAATGCATGTAACAACATTAATTCATGGTTAAGGGGATGAATTTTCTACCTTAAGTCTTGGATTCCAAGTATGGCAGCCTAATTTTGCAAGTCCTCTTCAATTCCTCTAAATTCAAGCGAAATTTCTAGATGAATACAATTTTCTCCCACTCTCTCTCTTACTCACGGTTTGGTCTAGGAAATGGATGAAGAATGGTGTGTCAAATGTGTGAATTAAGTTCCAAACATTGTTTGTAAAGGTGGCCTACTCAATGGCAATTGTGTAATAACTCAAGCTAATGTAAATTAACATTATTTATTCTAATTTAATCATTCCAAATTGAATTTTAATTAAACCTACCATAAAATCCTACAATTCCTAATTAGCATAAAACACCAATCAATTTCTGAGTCGATCACCGATAAGGCTTTCAATTCGCAATTCGAAATTAAAACATGAACAGATCATTCAATGACAAACATATAGAGATGTATTAAAACAACACACTCGCACAACAATTTAGGATTTCATCCTAATTAATTACTTATCATACTTAATCACAATTTAACGCTAATCAGAGGTGAGGGTTGTCACAGTTTCCTCTTTTTACGAGAACTAGTGGTACCTGTGTCATCCATATCTATATACATGTATGTATATCATGAGGTTAAATCAAAACACACATGGCAATCATAAATAACAAATGAACTTACACAATATTTGTTACAAATACCACACAACAACTAAACAAATATGGTTTGAATTACATGTCATTATAAAATCTCACTATTGAATAAAAATCGCCATACAACACAAATTTATTGACCTCTACTTGCTTGCCATTCATTAAACATTTGGGTTGCCAAGGCTGTTCTCCATTCACTCCATTGATCAGATGCTTCAACAACGTCAATGATTTCATCTCCTAATTCAGTAGCTGGAGGAGGAGGATTCATTTCCTCATTCTCATCATCAACGAGATCCATAGGCATTTCACGTTGAATGAGATTGTGGAGAAGGCAACATGCAGTGATAATACGAAATTGAGTCTTAATTGGAAAGTAAGAATAGCTCCTCAATATTGCCCATCTCATTTTAAGTAGGCCAAAACACCTCTCAATGACATTACGAGCAGAAGAGTGCCTCATGTTAAAAAGCTCTTGTGGAGTTGTTGGGGCACCCCCTTCTCTCCATGTCGAAAGATGGTAACGCTGTCCTCTATATGGTGCAAGAAAACCCTCCCCATTTGTGTAACTCGCATCTACGAGATAGTAATGGCCTGTAATTATGTAAGATGGTTTCACTATGTATGTACAAAAATAATTGTTTAATATAGATATAGTGTACTTATATATACAACAACATATATAATTATCATACCAGTAGGCACTTTCAACCCATTGGGTCTACTGACAGCATCTCTAAGTACTCTAGAGTCAGAAGCAGATCCTTCCCATCCAGGTAAGACATATATGAATTGCATGTCTTGTGAGCATACACCCAATACATTTGTGGCAATTTCTCCCTTTCTCGTTCTATACCTTGGTTTGTCTATTGCAGGGGCAAGAACCTTAACATAAGTTCCATCTAAAGCACCAAGACAATTCTAAAAATAAAACAATATTATAAAATTAATATAGACAATACAAAAACATAATTCGCTAATTAAGCCAAGTTGTAAATATATTGTACCTGAAAACAACTCCACCTATCATCTGTACAATTAGCAGTTATTAGTTTAGGCTTCTTAAGGAGGAGACCATAGAGGCGCAATACATCCTTGAGAACATTATTGAAGTGCTTACTAACTGTTTGACCACTCCGCATGAAATTTAATTTAATTTTGCGGTTCTTAGTATGATGTGCAAGCACATTCAAAAACATTGCTACTTGCTCCTCTAAGACAACATATTTTGAATCAGATAATCCAACACTTCGCACTAACCCACATAAAAGCATGAAAGTACACCTATTCATCCGAAGTTGGTCATGACAATTTATGTCACTATCGTTGACCAATCTATTCAAATGGTCAATTTGTTTTCCATAGGAGTGAGGTGATCTAGGTAGTTGCAACCTAATTTCTTTCTTCTTGAATGCAGCATGTAAAATCACTATATACATAACACATGCATAATTAATGGATGAAACAACATGTTGGAGGGCTACAAATTCCTCTATAAGGTCCTTTCTCCTTTTCTTAGTGGCATAATTATTATCCATCTACAAAAAATGAATAAACAATAAGCGGCTAAAGTTAGCACAAAAAGTAGAACAAATAATAGATAATAGAAAGTGTTTAATATGATAAAACAGATTGCAACGGCCAAAAAGCCATAGTAGAGTGAGTTTGAATTTATCATATTAAAGATGTGCAGAAAAGTAAAGAAAATAATGTGATAACTTATAGTGATTTTTTGACTTTTTAACTAAACTGTATAATTGACAAACTAGACTTATTATTTCATAAATTGGGGGGTAAATTGGAGGGGACCAAGTGTGTGGGCCTGAAAAATCTTTCTGCCTCAAGTTCTTTTACTACATTGGAAATAATGCATCCAGCAAGTAGAGATGGCAAGGCTAATAAAATCTCTGAAATGCTATGAGAGAGAAACTGCCCTTTTATTAGGTTCAATGGAAAAGGCTGGACCATATCAAAAAAAGGTAGAAATCCCCCTATCTTTTTTCACAAGTTTAGTTGCCTAACATAAGATAGTGAAAGAATAACAAAGCCAGAAACCAGAGTTGCCTTTCCCTTTTGATGGTTACATATAAACATCAGACTGGGGTTCTAAAATCAGTATCATCAGGCCTTCCAATTTAGTAAATCTATTTTATGGGTATTTCAGCTGTTAGAAAATGTAAGCCCCAATTTTCCAAGCTTGACTATACATACAACACAGAAATTATTTTTTTAGAAGCAGCTTCAAGTAGTCCAAATATCTTTTTCCCTTCATAGTAGCTTTTGGCTGTTTTGTAGTACATATTATGGAGTGGATTCGACTGATGTAGTCCAAATATTATTTTTTTAGAAGCAGCTTCATCTACATGTCGCTAATGTTGTAATGCCACAGAAATTTATCTCAGTTCTAAATGCATAATACAATTTTATTTTTATTTTTTAAAAATTTTCCTTCAAGTAGCTTGGCTGCTTGTTTGCAGTATATATTTTATGAGTGGATTCAACTGGATATAAGTTGGGTTATGAGGCAGCAGCTGATTTCTGAAATTTGAAGTTTCAATTGCTTTCAAAGAAAATATTTAAAGCCACAAGCTTCTTTTCTATCATTTCCATTCCATTTAATTTTTTTCTCTCATTTTGATGATTGATTTTGATTTTCATAATCAGCATATCATACAGGCCAACTGCATTCCCATTTACTTGAATTCATATTCTTGAAAAGGTTAAAGGATGCAGTTTTAAGTGATTGAAATTAAAAATAACATGATGATCGAGAATCAAGATATAATTTCCAATGACAAATGCAAACACCAAAAATCTTTGTTTACAGATTATTTTATGAAAACGTAGATGAAAAATTAACAATGTTCCTTAAAAAAATGATGATACACTATTTTACAAATCAAAACAAGATCAAATTAACAAAACAAAGATTAAAAAGAAAAAAGAAAATAAACCCCAAAAAATATTTACAAATCAAAGATTACTGTACGGGGAGCAAATATTCCGGCAAGCCCGTACTCCTTTCTTCCGAGCTCCGTTTCTGTCCGATCACCTGCGAGCAAATAACGGTGAGCTACCCGGCGGTGTGTGGCCGGAAAAACCCTCCGACGATCAAGTTAGCACACACCTTAGGATAGAGAGAAAGAGGGAGAGAGGAGTTTAAGTGTAAGAAATTCCTTACAAAGTGTTCATCTGTCTGCGTATGGGAGGCGCAGACATGCTTATATACCCTCTGCGCCCCATATCCACTCCCAGTCATCTCCTGACACGTGGCTCCGTTATCCCATCTGTCAGCATAAACCTTGCTGAACATCACCTAATCCAACTGCCTGCCCATTCTCCTGGGAGCTCGGCAGCCGGGCAATTCCATCTCGGCCATTGTCTGCCATGCTGCGCTTCATGCCCAAGTACTCCAACAGCTAAGCTTAGATGAGGACCGGACTCGGCGGCATCTCAGCAAAGCCGAGCTCGGGAATACTTACGCTTGTCTGCGGTCGACCTACCTGCCGAGCAAACAGGTACCTCGGTCCAACCTTGCCTTTCCTGGCGCTGGACTTTTCACCTGACCGGCTTCGAAATCACGGATCCTTGCAGCTCGGTCAATCAACGCGCTGCCTTAACCGAGCAGCTTCCATCAAGGCCGGGCCACACAACTTGGCCCAATACCTGTTCGGCCCAAATCTGTCCGGCACAACTCTGCCCGGCCCAAATCTGTTCGGCCAAACTCTGTCTGGCCCAAATCTGTCCGACACAACTCTGTCCGGTCCAAATCTGTCTGGCACAAATTCCATATCATTAATCTCCCTCTCAATTGCCCCTTAATTCCGTCCGCTGAAGCGTGACTGGGATTACCTATCCTGACCGGGGTAATATTTCCTCGGTCCTCAGTATACAAGATGGTGACCGCACTAAGAAGGCGAGTAAGGTCTGCTCCACAACTTCCTTCTTGGCGAGCAAGATCAGCTCGCCCAAGGAACTCCAAAGAAGGCGAGCAACATCAGCTCAGCAAGGAACTCCAAGGAAGGCGAGCAAGGTTCGCTCCACGACTTCCTTCTTGGCGAGCAACATCAGCTCGGCAAGGAACTCCAAGGAAGGCGAGCAAGGTCCGCTCCGCGACTTGCTTCTTGGCGAGCAACATCAGCTCGGCCAAGGAACTTCCAAGGTCGGCGAGCAAGGTCCGCTCCGCGACTTCCTTCTTGGCGAGCAACATCAGCTCGGCAAGGAACTCCAAGGAAGGCGAGCAACGTTCGCTCCGCGACTTGCTTCTTGGCGAGCAACATCAGCTCGGCCAAGGAATTTCCAAGGTCGGCGAGCAAGGTCCGCTCCGCGACTTGCTTCTTGGCGAGCAACATCAGCTTGGTCAAGGAACTACGAGGAAGGCGAGCAAGGTCCGCTCCGCGACGTGCTTCTTGGCGAGCAACATCAGCTCGGTCAAGGAACTCCGAGGAAGGCGAGCAAGGTCCGCTCCACGACTTCCTTCTTGGCGAGCAACAACAGCTCGGCAAGGAACTTCCAAGGTCGGCGAGCAAGGTCCGCTCCGCGACTTGCTTCTTGGCGAGCAACATCAGCTCAGTCAAGGAACTCCGAGGAAGCGAGCAAGGTCTGCTCCGCCACTTCTTTCTTGGCGGACAAGAACAGCTCGGCCAAGGAACTCCAAAGAAGGTGAGCAACATCCGCTCCGCAACTTCCTTCTTGGCGAGCAACATTAGCTCGGCTGAAACTTCGAAGTTAAACAAATCATCAACTCGCCAGCCGGAGTAAAACATCTCGGCTGGAACCTCACAGTTGAGCAAATCATCAACTCGCCAGCCGAAGTAAAACATCGCGGCTGGAACCTCGTAGTTGAGCAAATCAGCAACTCGCCAGCCGGAGTAAAACATCTCGGCTGGAACCTCGCAGTTGAGCAAATCATCAACTCTTCAGCCAGAGTAAAACATCTCGGCTGAAACCTCGCAGTTGAGCAAATCATTAACTCACCAGCCGGAGTAAATCATCTCGGCTGGAACCTTGCAGTTGAGCAAATCATCAACTCTTCAGCCGGAGTAAAACATCTCGGCTGGAACCTCGCAGTTGAGCAAGTCATCAACTCTTCAACCGGAGTAAATCATCTCGGCTGGAACAGAAGAGTAGGCCCCTTATCCACTATTATTTCGGACACAACAAAGCTCTTCAGCAAAAGTAATTCACTTCTATTACATTGACAAAAAGAGTATTTGCATTCAGAAGTGTAGGGGAAACAAGTCCCTCAAAAAATTACATAAGGCCGCATTCTATGGCCGGGGTACGCCTTTGCCATCCAAATCCTCTAAGTGGTATGCCCCTTGCCCGGTTATCTTGTAAGGCTCTTCCTAGTTTGCCCCTAGCTTGCCTTCACCCGGCACTAGTGCGTTGCCCATGACCTTCCTTAAAACCCAGTCGCCCACTTGCCCATTGCCATCGAGGTTGTCTCCACGGTGGACGTCGCTGCATCATCCTCTACTCGGATGTGCTCATTGATGCGCTGCATTAGGTGCCACATGGATGTCTGCTGGCTCATTGTAAGCGAATCCCTCAGCCTATGTCCGAGCAGGAGACCGCGCTTATATTGGGTGATTGCCAGGTTGACCGGGCAATCTAGGATCTCATTGAAGGTATCCCAGTACCTGGAGTTGTATGCCTTGAGAGTGTCGCTCGGTTCCATCCTGACACTGAGAAGGTGGTCAACTTCCTTTGGCGTTTTGGTGTTGGTTTTGAAACGCGTCACAAAGGCTTCCGCCAACCGCTGCCACCTTTCTATGCTCCCCTCCGGCAACCTCTCAAACCATTTCTAGCCCAGCTCGCCCAAACTTGACGGGAAGATGAGGCACATAAGAGCGTCATTTCGCCTACGTCCGGCCATGACCTGTCGGAAGTGGCTTACATGCATATACGGATTGGTCTTTCCGTTATAAAGCGTGAACTTTGGCTGGTGGAAGCCCGCGAGAAGCGGTGTTGTTTCTATCTCCAGGGAGAAAGGGGTGGCGCTCAGCCTCGCCAAGTCTGTATCTACAAGGAGTGGCGCCGCTAGGCGGGGTGGGGGCATTCCGACCTCCTCGCTGGCATGAACCCTGTAGGATAGCCGTTGGAACGCCGGTACCCTTTGAGCCTCCCGTCGGCGAGCCCATTCCTTCAAGACTGCCCGCAAGTCCTTTGAACGAGCGAAATAAGAATATCTCGACGTCGTCACCGGACGTGAGGGCTGGTAAGTGCTATCTTGCGCGCTGGACTTCTCTGTACGCACATCGGAATCACCAACCTTGTAACTTCTGGTAATAGAAATGGACGGAGTATGCTACTGACTCTGACTACCAGAACGGCGGGATGGGGTGCACTCTCCGTGGTCTACCACTCCATCTACACCCTTCCCCTTGACATGCCGCTTCAACTCCTCCATCTCCGCCGCCATTCGCCAGATGACAGCGTCTTGGTCCCTCAACTTGTGTTCCAGACGTCGGGCATGTGATTCTCTCCGCCGCCGATGACCATCTGGACTTCGTGAATGACCATAACTTCTCCCGCGCTTATCCCGCGCGTCTCCTGACTGTCCTCCAGTGAACGTATCCAAGTTCGCCATTGGAAGGATGGCAGGATGTCCTTCTCTCCGTCGGGTGAACTCCGGGGTAGCTCCATCGATGGCGGACAACGGAATCTCGTCGTTGTTCGCCATGGACGGCGATCAGATGAGCCTGGAAGACAAAGTTTTATCTGTCAAGCTTCCCACAGACGGCGCCAATTGTACGGGGAGCAAATATTCCGGCAAGCCCGTACTCCTTTCTTCCGAGCTCCGTTTCTGTCCGATCACCTGCGAGCAAATAACGGTGAGCTACCCGGCGGTGTGTGGCCGGAAAAACCCTCCGACGATCAAGTTAGCACACACCTTAGGATAGAGAGAGAGAGAGGGAGGAGTGTTTGAATGTAAGAATTTTCTTACAAAGTGTTTGTCTGTCTGCGTATGGGAGGCGCAGACATGCTTATATACCCTCTGCGCCCCATATCCACTCCCAGTCATTCCCTGACACGTGGCTCCGCTATCCCATCTGTCAGCATAAACCTTGCTGAACATCACCTAATCCAACTGCCCGCCCATTCTCCTGGGAGCTCGGCAGCCGGGCAATTCCATCTCGGCCATCGTCTGCCATGCTGCGCTTCATGCCCAAGTACTCCAACAGCTAAGCTTAGATGAGGACCGGACTCGGCGGCATCTCAGCAAAGCCGAGCTCGGGACTACATACGCTTGTCTGCGGTCGACCTACCTGCCGAGCAAACAGGTACCTCGGTCCAACCTTGCCTTTCCTAGCGCTGGACTTTTCACCTGACCGGCTTCGTAATCATGGATCCTTGCAGCTCGGTCAATCAACGCGCTGCCTTAACCGAGCAGCTTCCATCAAGGCCGGGCCACACAACTTGGCCCAACACCTGTTCGGCCCAAATCTGTCCGGCACAACTCTGCCCGGCCCAAATCTGTTCGGCCAAACTCTGTCCGGCCCAAATCTGTCCGGCACAACATCAACTCCGAGGGTCCAGTCGAGATGTTTTACTCTGGCTGAAGAGTTGATGATTTGCTCAACTGCGAGGTTCCAGCTGAGATATTTTACTCCGGTTGGCGAGTTGATGATTTGCTCAACTGCGAGGTTCCAGCCGCGATGTTTTACTCCGGCTAGCGAGTTGATGATTTGCTCAACTGCAAGGTTCCAGCTGAGATGTTTTACTCCGGCTGGCGAGTTGATGATTTGTTTAACTCCGAAGTTTCAGCCGAGCTAATGTTGCTCTCCAAGAAGGAAGTCACGAAGCGGATGTTGCTCGCCTTCTTTGGAGCTCCTTGGCCGAGCTGTTCTTGTCCGCCAAGAAAGAAGTGGCGGAGCAGACCTTGCTCGCTTCCTCGGAGTTCCTTGACTGAGCTGATGTTGCTCACCAAGAAGCAAGTCGCGAAGCGGACCTTGCTCGTCGACCTTGGAAGTTCCTTGTCGAGCTGATGTTGCTTGCCAAGAAGGAAGTCGCGGAGCGGACCTTGCTCGCCTTCCTCGGAGTTCCTTGACCGAGCTGATGTTGCTCGCCACGAAGCACGTCGCGGAGCGGACCTTGCTCGCCGACCTTGGAAGTTCCTTGCCGCGCTGTTGTTGCTCGCCAAGAAACAAGTCGCGGAGCGGACCTTACTCGCCTTCCTTTGAGTTCCTTGGCCGAGCTGATGTTGCTCTCCAAGAAGCAAGTCGCGGAGCGGACGTTGCTCGCCTTCCTTGGAGTTCCTTGCCGAGCTGATGTTGCTCGCCAAGAAGGAAGTCGCGGAGCGGACCTTGCTCGCCTTCTTTTGAGTTCCTTGGCCGAGCTGATGTTGCTCGCCAAGAAGGAACTCGCGGAGCGGATCTTGCTCGCCTTCCTTGGAGTTCCTTGCCGAGCTGATGTTGCTCGCCAAGAAGGAAGTCGCGGAGCGAACTTTGCTCGCCTTCCTTGGAGTTCCTTGCTGAGCTGATGTTCCTCGCCTTCTTTGGAGTTCCTTGGCCGAGCTGATCTTGCTCGCCAAGAAGGAAGTCGTGGAGCGGACCTTACTCGCATTCTTAGAGCGGTCACTATCTTGCATACGGAGGACCGAGGAAGTATTACCCCGGTCAGGATAGGTAATCCCAGTCACGCTTCAGCGGACGGAATTAAGGGGCAATTGAGAGGGAGATTAATGATATGGAATTTGTGCCAGACAGATTTGGACCAGACAGAGTTGTGCCGGACAGATTTGGGCCGGACAGAGTTTGGCCGAACAGATTTGGGCCGGGCAGAGTTGTGCCGGACAGATTTGGGCCGAATAGGTGTTGGGCCAAGTTGTGTGGCCCGACTTTGATGGAAACTGCTCGGTTAAGGCAGCGCGTTGATTGACCGAGCTGCAAGGATCCGTGATTACGAAGCCGGTCAGGTGAAAAGTCCAGCGCCAGGAAAGGCAAGGTTGGACCGAGGTACCTGTTTGCTCGGCAGGTAGGTCGACCGCAGACAAGCGTAAGTAGTCCCGAGCTCGGCTTTGCTGAGATGCCGCCGAGTCCGGTCCTCATCTAAGCTTAGCTGTTGGAGTACTTGGGCATGAAGCGCAGCATGGCAGACGATGGCCGAGATGGAATTGCCCGGCTGCCGAGCTCCCAGGAGAATGGGCGGGCAGTTGGATTAGGTGATGTTCAGCAAGGTTTATGCTGACAGATGGGATAGCGGAGCCACGTATCAGGGGATGACTGGGAGTGGATATGGGACGCAGAGGGTATATAAGCATGTCTGCGCCCCCCATACGCGGACAGACGAACACTTTGTAAGAAAATTCTTACATTCAAACACTCCTCCCTCTCTCTCTCTCTATCCTAAGGTGTGTGCTAACTTGATCGTCGGAGGGTTTTTCCAGCCACACACCGCCGGGTAGCTCACCGTTATTTGCTCGCAGGTGATCGGACAGAAACGGAGCTCGAAAGAAAGGAGTACGGGCTTGCCGGAATATTTGCTCCCCGCACAATTACAAATCATAAACCCCAAAAAAAAAAAACAGGGTATAATTCGGGGTAGAAAATCTAATAGCGAGATTAACAAAAAATAAAAAAATTACTGACGTAGCAGATGCTCAGCTGAATCTAGAGAGCTTGCTGTACTGAAATCGAAAATCTGATGTGAGAGAACTTGCTGTACGAGATTGAAAATCTGAAGAAGAAGAAGTGCTTCTCTTGCCTCTCCCTTTTGCTGCTGTTGCTTTGATGAGTTAGGGCTAGGGCAAAAATATGGGAAAAGAAGTAAATCACACTCCTAATACCAACGGACTAACTTTGAATACCAAGTTTTGGGGCAGACTGTGAATCCCATTTGCAAGGCCTATATAAAGCTGTTCGGCTTATCAATCCGTCCCTCACCTCTGTAAACAAACAGGGTATTAAATAGGACCCATAGCTATCCTAATCTTAATCCCTCTCTTATACCCAAAACAAACGGTATGAAACCTGAAACCTTAGGACTTATGCCCCAACGGCCTTATGCTTTGTAACTGTTGCGTAATTGTGCATCAATATGCTTTCACTGTTGCGTAATTGTGCATCAAAATGTCCACGCTTTAAGACTCCTTCGATGAAAGTATAGTGATGCCCCAGTCTCAGGTAAAACTTCCACGGTGAAGAGCCCAGTCAAGGAGGCGTGGACTGGCAACATGAATTATGAACAAAGGATCCATCAAAAATGATTTAGACCTCTAGAAAAGAAGCTCTAAATAAGTATTAAATTGTCTTTTTTTCTTTTTCTATTTTATCTTTTTACTCTTTTCTTTAAAATATATATATATATATTGCGAACTCAATGGAGCTGCTTTAGAGCGGCCCTACTTAGTGCTCGTAGCACTGTTGCAGGATCCAGAGCCCTATAATTGATGAGCCAAGGTTCTCTCCTTGCAGTTTCGTACTTGCGCTCGTCCTTACAGGCCTTCGGGTCTATTTTTAGGCCCAATTTTAATAATCCGAACCGTTCATATTTTATAATTTATTTAGTATATCATACCTGTAAAAAATCAAGTTGATCGGATATCAGAAAGCATATGTTCGGAAAACTGTTTATTAAATTCTTTAAAAAATAGTTTTTAGTTCAATTTTTCGAACACATACTCTCTGATATCCGATCAACTTGATTTTTTACAGGTATGATATACTGAATAAATCATAAAATATGAACGGTTCAAATTATCAAAATTAGATCTAAAACTAGATCCAAAGGCCTGCAAGAACGGGCACAAGTACAAAAGCTGCAAGGAGAGACCCTTCAACCACTTTAGTTGATTAAAAAAAAGATACCCTTCAACCACCGATTACAGCACGACACCCAAAAAAAAGGAAACAAAATAAAAACAGGTGCAATTATTTCCTGATGTGTGCCGCATCTACACTCATCATACAGAGAGAGACAGAGAAACCCATTCACTCATTAATGACGATGGTAAACCCCACCGTATGTCCTCTCCGGCAGTGTTACATATATAAATTAAATTAGTATACACACTAATATATTAATTAATGTTATAATATTATTATTGACCACATTTATTATACAAGTTACAAATATTTAAAAATATACAAATGATATCACATCATTTATTAATGTTCTAGTATATACATTAATTGATACATATAACATTATTCTACATTCTCTGTATGTTATTTATTGCTCTTCATTATCACAAGTATAAATGTCTCTCTCTAAGGATTTACACATACATTTCAGTTGCATCTTTATCACTGCCTACAAATGAATGAATTCAAATCCCCCCACCTAAATAATATCCATTGCAGAATTTTCCTCACCTTCCCACCTCTATCTACAACCACAACCACAATCACAACCCAACCCAACCCCCCTTCTTTCTTAACCAATCAAAAAGAACGAATTTTTTTTTAAAATAAAATAATATACATATGAACTCTCGAATCTTCGAGCTGTAATATCATGAAATCCCACATCATGAAGTATTTACCGTTTGGCTGGCTGTCAATGTGCGATGTAAGTTCAAGCCGCGAAAATAATCTCTCCAACAATGAGGGTAAAGTTGCGTATATCTTGCCCTCTCCGGACCTCGCACCTTGCTGCAGTGGGAGTCTAGTGCATTATATTATCGATGCACACTTTTTCCATGGGGTGAAAGCCGAGTCTTGATAGGTTTCAACTTCAAGCCCATGCTTTGTGGAGAGAGTAGCTCGGGGGCGATGCAAGACGGGCTGAGCGGACTTCTTGGACTGTCACTGAGCTGGCACGGCCTATATAATCCGTACCCCACGAGGAAGTACTCCATGGGTATCAACATTGCAGGGGGCTGTTCTTCTGTTACCATTGACCCACAACCCTGGACCTGTACAAACCAACTCACATAAGGAATGCTTGAAACCACTTTTGCCCATTCTGTCAAGAGATATATATATATATATATATAACAGTGGATGACATACGTAATGCGTGTACAATTCAGATAAATAAGTATAAAATTAAACAATAAAGAAATTATTATCATAATATGTATGTTGTCTAAATGGTAGGAGTGTTCGTAATGAAACCCCAAGGTCTTCGGTTCAAATTTTACTCATGCCTTTGAATAATATTTTTTCATTTTAGGAATTAAATCTGTAGAATATAAATTTTAATTTTGAATTAAAAACATGTATTTATTGCTCAAATGGTAAAAGTGTTGCTTACCAAACTAATGGCCTTAGGTTCAAGTCCCTCTCACCGCTTCAATATTCTCTCTTTTTATATTCTCTTAAATAAATAAGGGACATTTGGCATAAGAAGAAAGTTCAGACACCAAGTGACTTGTTCACTTTATATATAGTATAAATATAGATATTTTTGGGTAAATTACACTGACACCCCTTGAGTTTTATCTTTAATATAAAAACCCCTCACATTCTGAAAATTACATTCCCCTCCTTAAGGTTTAAACTTTTATTACAATTTAATCGTTCCGTTAGTCAACCGTTAAGTCAATTAACGGAAAAAACTAATATAAGAAATTAATTTTTTAAAATGCTTATTTTACTCTTATTAAAAAAATCTTTTTTAAAAAAAATATTATTAGATGAGTTAAAACAATCTGCAGGAAATTATAAAAATTCATTCAATACATAACTGCCGTTTGGTACGTGGCTTTTTTAGTTGACTTTTTGGCTATTTTAGCTCAGGCTAAAAAGTTCGTTTGGGTTGGCTTTTTTGGCTTTTTGACTTTTTTGAGAGAACAAATGAAATAATTATAGTTCGGATGTGATATTTTGTCTTATTGATTTTTTAGTCTATTTTGCCTTTTTATAGCTAATTTAGCCCACAAAGCCAGTGCCAAACAAAGCATATTATTATACTATTAAACATTTAGGTAATGCTATTGTACACAAGCTTTTGTGGTGTTAATTATCACAAATATTAAAATTAGATCATTTTCAATCATAACCAAAAAAACAATTATAACCAAACACCTCATGAGGTATAACCAAATACCTTTTGAATCATAACCAAAATAATGTTATAATCAATAGTTATAACTAACACCATAATAGGTCATAAGCAAAGACCACATACCATGACTAGGGCATATGAAATTTTCCTAAACGGTAAATTGTTTATTAATTTTATATACGCAAATAAGGATAAACTAGGCATTTTAAAAAATTAATTTCTTATATTAGTTCTTTCCGTTAGTTGACTTAACGGTTGACTAAGGCCTCGTTTGGTAATAGACTAATTTAGTAACTTTTTAGTTATTTTGCTAAAATATGAGCTAAAAAAAACTAGTATGTTTGAGATGACTTTTTAACTTTTTACGAAAAGATGTGCAAAAAGTAGAGAGAAAAGAGAATCTTTGACTTTTTGGTATGAATTATTGACTTTTTGACTAATTTAGTAACTTTTTGACTTTTTTGCTAAAAAGTTCGGTTGCCAAACGAGGCCTAACGGAAGGATTAAATTATAACGAAAACTTAAACCTTAGGGAGGAAGATGTAATTTCCAGAACTTAAAAGGGATACTTGTATTAAAGACAAATCTCAAGGGGTGAGTGCAATTTACCCTATATTTTTTGTGTAATATTGATAGGGCCAAAATTTGGAATGAAATTTCATTAGAGAGAAAATCTCTAAACTGAGATTCAAGAGCACTAAGCTCAAAATTTACAATATCTAAGTCATAAACCGACTACCAAAGACCCTAATCACTTATTTATAGACTACAGCAATGCTACATCCACACAAATTGTTCCCCACAAACCCCCCAAATGGCGTGGCAAGGTTGGCTGGAAAGTTTTGGGATATGAGAGGAGTGTAGGAACTTGGGTGTCATTGATTTGCTTTTTTCGGGGAATTTGCGGGGGAGAAATTGTGTGGGTGAAGCATTTTTCTATAGGCTATTGCCAACTAAGCAACCTATTAACATAACAATCATACTAATTCTAACTACATCAAATATACAAAAATACTTTAAAATTGTCTGATTTATCAAGAGTGGATAATTATTGCCAGCTTTAAAGGGATTAGCCATTAGATGGCGAAGTATTGCACAAGTTTAAAAAATCAAGAAGTCCAAGGTTATGTAGGTAGTGTTCATAACAAATGTTGTATACTCAACTCAATCAAGCCTTTTCACAACTACTTGGCTTTTCACAACTACTTGGGGTGGACTAGATGGATCATATTTTGCCATTCTTATTTAACATGGGCCATAATCTCATTTAAACTGTGAGATAACATGTGCTTAGTGACTCAACTGAAGTTAATCTTCACCTCCCTTGTCCCCTAGCATTACCCTCAAGAAGCATACTAATCGATAGGTGCTACCTTTACCATCTCACAAATTTGTCCATTCCTAACCCTATCTCTCTCCTAGTTTTACCCCACACATCCATCTTTAGCATCCTCATCTCAGCCATATGTTAATATGTTTTTTGATTGCACACACTTTGTACCGTAAAGCATGACTGGTCTTATACCCATCTTGCCGAGTTTTCCTTTTATTCTCATTGGTATGTGTCGATCAGACAAGACACCCAAAGCATTCCTCCGCCTAGTCTATCCTGCCTTAATTTTTTATGACTAACATGAACACCTCTCCCTCAATATGTTTGAGTGAGCCCAAGTACAAAAACTATTCACTGTTTGGTATTTCTTGGCCTCTTCATTCATACTTTGGCCTTTTACTAAAGTCGCATCATATATATTTCATTTTAGGCTCCTCCATTTATAATACACATTATATCTAGAATAAAATTTATAGTGTGTAACAAGAGAAATTGGGTATACTGAATCCTCTCCAACAAAAACAAAGTCAAAGTTTCAACAAATTTTTTTGCTATATTTACATAAACTACCACCTTATGTATCTAATATTCTTGACTTGATCAAAATCACATAAGTTTACCCAGAAAATGCTTGGCATGTGCACATGACATACCTCAACTAAGGCACTATATCTTCTATTCAGTTTTGCCATCATGTGGAGAGCCTCTGAATGGAAAGGAGAGTTTTCCCCAACAAATATGAGTGTCCGACATTTTAGTCTCTTCAAACCTTCGGTAATGTCAGGTCTCCTGCTAGTTGGCAAATCGAAATTCAAATAAGTATGTTCACCTATCAATTGCAAAAGCAAGTAACTCGTGGAGAAACCATTCACACACTAAATATGATACAAGAAGCAACCCCTGACTTGGTCCTTACCCATCAATTGCTTGAAGAAACCGCAAAACATTTATGCTCTGCCTCTCATCCAGTAACTGAAGAAATAAACAAACAGTCATATTAATCAAATCAATATCACAAAAAAGGGAAAGAACGATCAAAGTCAGATTCCAGCAAGTGTGTACAAAATACAACGAGGATTAGAATAGTTGAAAGCACTAACTCTTCTACATGCTTGAACAATATCCGATTCTGGGATTTCTGCACTACCGCGAACTTCCTGATACAACTTAAAGCAAACAACACATCACTTGACCTAATCAAACAAATTACAAAGCATGAGAAGTACAGAAAAAAGAAAATAAAAGAATACACTCGTAGACAGGAAGTATTAGAATACCTTGCTGAAGTACCGGTGAAGCAGGATCTCCTTTAGCAAACCAGACATGCCATAAAAATATAATAAACTTGACATCACCTAGACATTAGATGTAAAATGGATTTAGTACAGAGATTAATGTCATTCATCATGTAGAAATGAAATCAAGGAATGCTAAAACACCTTATTGTACAACCATTCAGTCCATGAGGCAGACTTGCATAAAGGGGATACGAGTATCAAACCAAGGACACGCTCTCTATATTTGATCTGTAATACATAACCTTGAATTAAGCAATCTAAATACCATTCTAAAACACATAAATGACACTATCATGTAAGAAACTTACAGCAAATAGAGTGAGGATGTAAGCACCCGCCGTTACCCCCATGCACATCACTGAACCAAGCCTGAACAAGGTCATATTCATGTCATCAAACAATGAGCATTCAAAAAAAAAAAAAGGAGATGAAGAAGAAAGAGAAAGATAATGGATGGCAAGAACATGTCTTTCTAAATCCTCTATATGCCACCAACAAAAACAAGCAGGAACGAGTATAACTCAGGTACCCTTTTAGCCTGGAAACCAATCAATAAAAGAATTTTGGAGAACAACATTGCAGAGTTATCATTACCTAAAATAGTTGAGAACCTCAATGATTTGATCTGCTAAGTCGTCAGCAGAAGGCACAGGGACATCGGGAGAAATTGCAGTGGCTCCCAACTGCAAGAACTCTTATGGAAGTTCCAAAAGAAATCTTACGTGAACAATAGTATTGAGTAGAAAGAACATAAAATACAGCTCAAAACAAACAATTCATAAAAAAAACAAGAATAATAGAACAACACTAATGACAACAAGTCAATCAATTCACAGACCTCGTGCCCAGGAGGACTGATATGGTAAATGCAGTAGTTGTGGAGAAGCAAAGAAGCTGCTTCGGGACAAAAGAACAATCCTTGGAAACATGACATATCTGCTCAAAAAGTTACAAAAAGTCGCAAGCACTATTAGATTGAAGATATATGCCAAAAACCAAAACAAGGAAACAATGACAACAAAAACACAGAACTGCTAGATAGGAAGAAACAAATCTAAGAATTACGATTTAGAGCTAAATCAGGATAGGTAAGCAGTGCTGGTTTGTCTTGGTCGCCATACACAATAACAGACACAGGACCATGGGCAGTTCGTACAATATGTTCCTGCAGTAAAAGCAAAATAAACTATGTGCATTACGAACAAATCAATCATGGTTAGAGAAGAAAAAAAAAATGAGCATTAATCAACAGAGGAAGATAATTTCCAAGAAATCATCAAAATGGTAGAAAACTATAATGGTACCACTAAATTTCAAAATGAGAACCCCCATAGTATAAGCAATCATTTGTTTTGTGTATAAACCATTCAAATGAAGCAAAACCGCTACTTGTTAATATTATACCCAGAAAATGCTTGGCATGTGCACTGTCCCCTATAGAGGCTGATTGCTAAATCAGCATAATATTTATTTCTAAAAGGAGATCAAACAACGAACCATTTCTTCAGTTCAATCTTTTAATCCATAAAAAGTAATGACACTTAACAGGAAGAGCATGGGATCCAATATAAAAAATTATATTGACAGATAAACTAATTAAATAATGATTGCAACCGCTAATCAATAAAAAATTTAATTGATTAATAAAGAAACAGCCATGCTGTGTTATTAGAAAAATGACTATATAAATAAGAAAATGAAAGGTATCCCTAAAGTCTCTAGATGATTGAGAGCTTTTACCAATGACAATAAGTGGTCAGAAGAAACGACAAAAGTTGATGAAAGCAGATAAACTTTGCTACCACATTCAAATTAAACATAACAAGAAACAAAGGTAAATTACACTGACTACTCTTGAGATTTAGAAAAAATATAATAAAGCCCACAAATTTGACGTAATTAAGCGGCTAGTATGTAGACAGAAAGATAAATAAAATATAAATTTCAGTGTAAAAAAGATGTGACAATATCATTTTTCCACCCATATGACTAACAAATTATTGATGAAAAAAGGATTGTGTTTTTTGAATTAAAACTTTAATGTTGTATTTGGTTGGAAGATTTGAGTAGGGATTTGGAAAGGGAAATAGAAAAGGTAGGTGAAATATGAATAAAACATACCTATATTTCACCCAGTTTCACACACATTTTTCTTTTTCCTTTCCCTTTCTAAATCCCTTCCTAAATCCTCCAACCAAACACAACGTAAGGGAGTGCGGTGTAATTATGTCAAATATGTAGGGTCTGATGTATTTTTCCAAATCTCAAGGGAAGTTAATGCAATTTACCCAACAAAAAAAATTAAATGAACATACCAATTAACTAGTACATTGTCAACACACACTATTTCAATGTTGATCGAATGAAAAGATAAGAACTTTCATGTTAAATTTGTAACTATCACTGATCCAATGCTGACATTTCCCAAAGTTAAGAATAAGATCACTTTCTTGTTAGTTTGAAACGAAAACAATGACTTGGCAGTTAAAGATTTACTTTTTCTTCAAACATAACGTAAATTGTAGAACTAAAGGATGCAATTGAAGATTTTAGATCAAATCAAATCAAGCGAATAGAAGATTTAATGAGACAATAAAAACAGCATTAAAAAAACTTTAAATTAGATTGCAAGGAAGTCAACAGATCTACATTGCAAACTCATCAATTACGAAAGTTTCAAATTCATAATAAATAAATAAATAATGCATGACATTTCTAATCTATTAATAACAAAATCAAGTTTAGAGTATAGAATGAAACCTTCCCGCCAAGATAAATCGTTTCCATGTCAACAGAAACGGAATCGTTTGAGTCTGCCATTGCCGACGGCTCTCTCTCTCTCTCTGTGAAATTGTTTTCTCTCTCTAACTAGACCTTAGATGGATTATATACGAAGCGATTCTCTCTCTCTCTCTCTCTCTCTCTCTCTCTCTATCTGTGTATCTAACCTGCGGTTAAGCTCCACCGACGGAATTGTTTGTTGGTTTCCTATTCGATAAGTACTACTCGCTGGAATATTAACCTGGAACTATGGTCAAAATTTAACCATGGTTAATGACCCATAGCTTTGCACTTTATAAGACCATGTCACGCTATCATGGGCAGTCCGCGATCTCTGCGCGATTGAGAGTTTTTACGGACCGGAGCGGCCGTGCGATTTGATGGATTAATGCATAACATTTTATTATTTTATATTTTTTTAAAATTATTTTAGAGTAATTTTTTTTATTAGGAGTATAAAAAATTTTAGGATGAAGTATCAATAAACTTTAAATATTGATTTTATGAATTGTTTGATTTTTTTTTTTTTTTAGACCTAAAGATTTTATTCTAGTGTTAATTATATAAAAAGTCAAGGATAAACACGCATGTGTTATGTATTGAGAAACAAATATGAATATTCACATAATGTTAAAAATATTAAACGTAACACTTCAAAACAATTCCTTACGTAGTGTTTGATTAGGAGATTTAGTAAAAAAAAATGAAAAGATAAATGAAATGTTAATAAAATATAATTTCATATAATTTTTTCTTTTCTTTTTCAAATCGCTTTCCAAATCTCACAACTAAACACAGCGTTAATGTATTTTTTCCCAAATATAACACTCTACTGTAACATTCCAAAAATGTAACACTCTATTGTAACACATTAAAAAAATTTCTTAATATATTTTTCTCAAATGTCATAATATAACATTCCAAAAATAAACTTCTTAATGTACTTTTTTAAAACGTAACACTTCAATCAATGTAACACACAAAAATTTTTTAGTGTGTTTTTTCCAAATGTAACACTCTAATGTACTATACTAAAAAATTTCTTAACGTACTTTTTTCAAACGTAATAATGTAACATTTCAAAAAAATTTCTTCGTATAATTTCCCTAAACGTATCACTCCAATTAATGCAGTACACAAAACTCTTTAGCGTATTTTTTTTTAAATGTAGCACTACAATATAACACACTAAAACTCCTTAATGTACTTTTCTGAATATAAGAACATAATATTCTAAAAATCTCTTTAGTATATTTTTTCCAAACGTAATACTCCAATCAATGTAATACACAAAAACTCTTTAGTGTATTTTTTTCAAACGTAATATTCCAATGTAATACCAGAAAATCACAATAATAGAAATGTAAATTTCTATACTCGACAACCAGCACTTCAGCCACCAATCCTCCCAAAAGAATTTTCCACACCTCACATATTCATTCCCAAATAAATTAGAAAATTAAAAAAAAAATAATCACAAAATAACATTTACTTAAATTCAAATGGTATCCAAACAAATAAATACAACTTTCCAAAATAAAAAAAAAGGACTAATTGATTAATAAGAAAACTCTTAAAACTAAATAGATCAACATTCCCCGTATGAAATTTATGAGTAAATTTTCCAAATTTTTATTCTCATTTTTTACAATTAAAATAAAGTTCCAACTTTTATATTTCATGAATAGCTAATATCATATATATATATATATATATAGTGTTTTTTCCTTTTTATGTGACACATTATAAGAATTTGTTTGTTTTATTCTAAAAAAACTATATCAGCATGCATTTTTCATTTACATATAGAGTTTTATACAAATCTAAACCCAATTCAAATTATATAACTTTACGTATTTTATATGGATTCTATTTGAAAAATATTTAAATATTTATTTTTATATATTTTGCATCGTAAATTCAAATAATTTGCAAACTCAATACCAATTTTATATAAATTTTATTTGATAAATATTTCTTTCACAAACCCAATTTTAGTTTTACACGAAATCTAACTACAAATTTTATATAGATTATACTTTGATTGTACAAAAAATTTTCTATATTATTTTATTTAATCACAACTCACAAAAGAAAAAACCTATACAACAATAATACTCTCAAAGAATCTCTAAAATTTGAATTTACTATTTGAGTTAACTTTTCAATTGTTGAACAGTAAGTTCTTCTATGTTTTGACATCAGATTATAGATAATTAATCACTTCATACACTGAGATGTATCTATCATTTTGATATTTTTATTTGTTTTTTTCTTTTTAGGTTTAGATGTTATGAGATTTTTTCTTAGTTAGTCGTTCAATTTATTTTATATAGTTCATATTTTAATTTAATTAAGAATGTTTCTTTTACAATCTTATAATTTAATATCTATCATATAAAATGTGACGCCCCAAGTTTTTTGAAATATCAAGGGAAATTAAATAAACAAAATGACTTAATAAACCAAAAAGTTGACATCTTAATAGGATAATCCAACTCTCGTACATAACCAAATGTCCAAATAACAATAGATAAAAACTTAAAATTATCCAAATACAACATCAAATGAAATTATAAAGTCTTTAATAGCTATTATATAAAATAATATAATTTATTCGGCTCTACTCGGGGTTTCAGGTCAGCCAAGGCTCTACGTTAGCGTCGACTCCATTTCATCTTTAATTATTTTCTCGCCAAGACCTGGCATAAAACGCCAGGGCAACAAAAATATAACCATGAGTTTTGCAACACAGTAAGAAAACATAACCAACCTACCATTCTTTTTAAGAAAAAAATAATGAGATTATAAACACGAGATAATAATATAATTGTAAACATGAATTACAACCATTAAAATAATTTCAATAATTTTAATAAATTAGGTGACACTCGAAATCTCACCAAAGAGATTGAACTTACCAACCACTAAGCATGGCAACGGTTAATTTGAAACCCTCCCTTGGTCAAATATTTTAGTGTTACCAACCGTAACTACCAGGGATGCCCATGTCCGGACTTATATACCCAAGTAGTAGCATCCGTGGTCTGCCCCAAGAAAACGGTCTGCCAGGGGTACGTAACCTCCCTGTGTGCCACCGGCACATCCACCCTTATTCTAAAACCAAATATCGAAAAGGGTTTAAATAAGTCTCGTGCCATCTTAGAGTTTTGCAACACAATTTACATGAGAATTCTCAAAACCAGGGCTCACCCTGAACAACCGGTATTAACCATCAATCCCTTGATTTCATACACTCTTTAAAACCAAGACTCACTGTGAAAACTGATATTAACCGTCAATTGTTAACTTTGTATATGCATTTAATCCTTTTAGTTAATTTAGATAGTAATCACAAATAATTCCAATTTTTAATCACAAATGATGTTATACCAACTCATTAAAATTCCCAACATAAAATATTACACATGTCACACAATAATAAATAAATGTACAGCATTTAAATAAACAATTTATTTAAACCATGGTATGAAATAATAATATAGATACAAAAAAAATAAACTATAGTCACACACATGCATGGATTTTTAATTTACAAGATTAGACTACCACAATATTAAATAAACCACAATACACCCATACATGGATTACTAATTTACTATATTTGATGGATTGGACCAACACAATAACTGGTTTTTATCCAAATAAATCAAAACTAGGGCTCACCCTGAACAACCAGTATTAACCATCAATCCCTTGATTTCATACACTCTTTAAAACCAAGACTCACTCTGAAAACTGGTATTAACCGTCAATTGTTAACTTTGTATATGCCTTTAATCCTTTCAGTTAATTTTGATGAACAACTGATATTAACCGTCAATTGTTAACTTTGTATATGCATTTAATCCTTTTAGTTAATTTAGATATTAATCACAAATAATTCCAATTTTTAATCACAAATGATGTTATACCAACTCATTAAAATTCCCAACATAAAATATTACACATGTCACACGATAATAAATAAATGTACAACATTTAAATAAACAATTTATTTAAACCATGGTATGAAATAATAATTTGGATACAAAGAAAATAAACCAAAGTCACACACGTGCATGGATTTTTAATTTACAAGATTAGACTACCACAATATTAAATAAACCACAATACACCCATACATGGATTACTAATTTACTATATTTGATGGATTGGGCCAACACAATAACTGATTTTTATCCAAATAAATAGTTGAATTGATGATCTTAAACCTGTCTAGAAATTTTCAGGTTATACCTTAGGTAATAAAAATTATAAATATATTATTTATACAGTTCTAAAATTCGTGAAAATGTACAAAATATTCAATAAATATGTTTGGGTCATTTTTTATAAATAAATTCCCAAAAATAAGTTATAAATAATTCTGTAAAATTCCCAGAAATTTTATGACACAGATTTATCACATTTTCTTAAATTAATTTCATACTTAAATTTATAAATCAGATCCATAATTTAAAAATTTAGTATGAAATTAGACTTCTCAAATTTCATATTTTAGTTAGAAATTACCAGATTTGGCTTAATATAGAATTTTTAATAAGTTTTTAAACATAAATCTGTCTTACAGTAGCAGATTTAATTATAAATTTGTATAAATTCGTATCAAGCTCAATAATTGTTGAAAAAATTCCTAGATGAACTAGACATCATTCTCAACAACTTTTTAGAAGAAATTATTTCAAAATTTTGAGCATAAAATTGTCTAAAAATTCGTACAACTTTCTGACAAATTGAAGAGTTATATAATCAAACCAAATAAAATTTTTAATCATCTCTTTAATGGCACAAACTACACATGCAAGTCTAATTCCAAGATTATATCATGATTTTAAGGCTACTAATAAAGAAATGACCTTCAAATATTTAACATACCAATCACAAATTCACATACAACATTCTCAACAACTTTGTAGAAGAAATTATTTCAAAATTTTGAGCATAAAATTGTCTAAAAATTCGTACAACTTTCTGACAGATTGAAGAGTTATATAATCAAACCAAATAAAATTTTTAATCATCTCTTTAATGGCACAAACTACACATGCAAGTCTAATTCCAAGATTATATCATGATTTTAAGGCTACTAATAAAGAAATGACCTTCAAATATTTAACATACCAATTACAAATTTACATACAACTATAAACAAAATTTTATCTAAAGTTTTAG